ACCTACAAATTTAAAAGAAATTGCAATTAGATATTGTAGTCTACTTCATTCCATTTATTTTTGTAGGAAATTCGAAAGTCATAATTGAAATAAATTATAAATATTTATATGAATATATATTCCAAAAAATTAAATAAGCTAAGGTAACCTTATAAATCTATACTTAGTTTTCACTTATTTAAACTCTTGGGGGTTAATTTTTATTTATAACAAATATTAATTACTTTCAACAACACTTGCAAATTAAATTTCATTTTCAATTTATTTGACACACGTTTATTTACCTCTCAAGTCTCAATATGTACTACTATATTGCTATTAATTTTTCATTTTTAATTAGACTTGATTTTAAGTTAAAATAAAAATTTTCTGACATGAATAAAAATAAATTGAGTAAATAAATATCAAATATAAATATTTTTTTAAAATAAATAAATAAAGCAAACATGTTATATGATTACATATGGAGAATTTTGGCACTTGACAATTTTTGAAGTCACTATGTCATACTCCAAAGTTTTGAAGTATTATGTCATTTATGATGGCTTCATCGCTCATTAAAAGCCCACAATTTAAATGTCACATGTGTTTTATTTTGATTGACAATTAAAATTTAACATATTAATTAAAAAATTTATTTAAAAATATATTTTTTTTATTTCTTTCAACTAATGGATAAATTAAGGAGTTTATATATCTGATCAAGAACTCGATCATGATAAAAAAAATTTTTATAGTCTGATATCCGTCAGTTTAAAAGTAGGAGTAACATATTAACTGTATCAGATCATGACTAATTTTAAGATTAAATTAAAGAGATTCATATATGCTGTCCTTTTTTATTTACGTGGTACTATTAAATTTTTCTTATATTTTTGTTTCAATTTCTTCACATTTTAAAAAAATTATTTTCTATTTTTCCCTTCTTTAAATTTTTGTTTCTCTTTCAATTTCTTGTCACTATACAAACATGTGCACATTATTTTTAGAAAAGAAATAAAATTTAATTTAATAGAAATATGAAATTATGAAAATTTATGAAATTATACTATCGCTCATTCTATATAAGAAGGTAGAGAGAAAGAAATATGGTGTTGAATTTTTCATTTACACTTTAATGAAATAATTTATTATCATATAAATATATAAAAATAATATAATTTAAATAGATTTAAATTTATTTAATTGACACTATTTCAAAAATAAATTCATGAATAAATATTATCACCAGTACCTATACATGCAAAAATAGTAATAGTTTTAAATTGTCGATTAACTGCTTTTAGTATAGTAATTTTAAAATATACCAAATTTTTATATGATAATATTATTATTTATAAGAGTTAGCCATTTATAAATACTTTAGTACATTTAGATATTGTGAATATCTCGATCAGTATAACATAAAAATATTATATGCACCATATATCTACTATTTATATATAAGTGTCAATAAACACACAACAGAAAGTCAACGTGTGTGCTTCAATTGTGTGCTTATTTACATAATTAGTTGTTTGGCCTACTGGTATTGGCTTATTTATTTCTGTTTTATTTATTTTTTTAATTTCAATTTATTTATTGATTTGAGACTCTTGATGTTTCGTATTACGTAAATATATTTTTTATTGATATTATATTTTAGTTATTCCATTTTAACCACACAGTAGACAGCCAACATGTCTGCTTCGCGTGTGGTTCCGAACTATAATTAACAACATATTGACTCTTGAAATTCTATTTTTGCTACATATATTGGGACAAGGCTAACTTTTATTCGTATCATATAAAGTGAAAAAAAATAAGAGATATTAGATTCGTGATAGCACTGATATATGTGTCTAGTAAATAAATAAACGAGAAAATAAAAGAAAATGGAATAGAATCATTTTCTTGCATTCCTTCCTCTTTCCTTCACCTTTAGCATTTTTCAACAATCAACTGAATAATTTTATATTTTTTAAAAAAGCTGGTAATATTATTTTAAATTAGATTGTATTTTTGTTTTAACGATTATATTAATATATTTTAATTTATCAAGAATGTATTAGTTCTGGCAGGAGCGAATTTAGATATAATCACGTAATACGATTTTGTCGAAAATTTGATTTGAGAAGAATTAAAATTGACATATTGATACGTCATAAAATTATGTCACATTTTATATTAATTAATTGATATTTTGGGAATCACATCTTATTTTATTATTATTTATTTTGAAAAAAAATATTACTAAAATCAACCGTACAAATTTAAAATTTAATTTTAAGACCGCAGAACTCTTCTTTACGATCAAGTTTTTGTGTACTCATTATTCAAATATCAATATTTTATTCTAATTTTGTCTTAATTAAAAAGGTGACACTTGAAAAGAAGTTTGAGCCATTTTAATAATATCCTTTCCTTGAAAAATAAAATAAAATAATAAATTATCATTATAATCTAAATTTTCCTCCTTTTTATGTCTATCTAGCTAAGTTTATATATTACTCGTTTCATTTTACTTAATTCATGTTGATTTGATATTTTGAAAGAAAGTATTTCTTAGAAATTTAGTTTATTATAACAATTTTATAATTATATTTTTGAAAATTTACATTTGACAAATAATATTTTACATAGTCATTTAATAATAAAGATACATAAATTTCTCTTGATATTTTAAATTAGACAAATAAAATAAAATATTCATTTTTGGTATATAGACGAATAATATGAATTGAATGGAGTAGTTAGAGTAGTGGTCGGGGCCTCTTTATGGATTATGTAAATAAGTTTAGCGTTGTATCAAGCCTCATTTCCACGTCAGCTTCAGTATTACATCGCTAAACTTGCCCTCCAAATGTTCTATTTTGGTCTGCTCAATCTAAATTTCTTAAACTCCAAGGTCTATATCCAAATTTTCAGCCTAACATTAACTCCGCCGCGAGCCTCGTCAATCTAATTATGTCATTCCCAAATAACATAAACCATGACACATGTTCTTTGATATTCCATGTCAATTCATCCTTAGCTAAGACAAATAAAACGGGTTAAGAGCTAATCTCTCCTACAAATCCATCATAGCTGATATTTGTCCCGAATCTCCAACTGGTCCCATTGTTATTGCTCGAGTCTTGACTCCATTTTATATGTCCTTAATCACCCTAGTATATAACACTTGAACGCCTCTAGCCTCCAAGCATCTCTAAAAGACATTGTTTGAGACTTTTTCGTAGGCCTTTTCTAGGTCAATCAACGTCATGTGTAAGCCATTTTTTCTTTTTCTGTACCACTTTAATTTCCTAGTCTCCTTACTAATGAAGAATGACAAAAATCATGCATTAATGATGAATGTGGTGTATGGACTCCTTTAATGCTTAGACAATTTTTCTCTCTTTAAGTTAACTTTTGGTGATGTAAATTAGGTTCAAGACCTGATTTCTTACATGATATCAGACCATGATCCATCTCACCCCATATTAGGGGCGAGATGGTGTGTCGAAGAATATGAAAAAAGTCTCACATAAATGATTAATGTGATGGGTGAACTCCTCATAAAATTTGGGCAATCCTCCTCTATTTAAATCCGTTTTTGGGGTGTAAGTTAGACCAAAGACTTAATTTTACATGATATCAGGGCAAACCAATCTCATCCAATATTGGTCGTGAGGTGGGGTATTGAAGAATATGACAAAAGTCCCACATGATAGTTAATAAGATGGTGAACTCTTTATTTTATTTTCAGAAAAAGAAATTCTTATCCAAACAATCACCGACAATATAACTCCATTTAGATTATCATTAAAGCGGAAAATTACACCATTTAAATATTGAATCCAAATGATTTTTTTCTTGTAGTTTCTTCATAATTTTAAGGGAAAAAGGTCTGATATAACTTTGTCATTTGGAGTTGATACACCCCTCGTTATAAAAGTGGCTCATATATACCCTTACCGTTATACAAACGGCTCACATATACCCCTGCCGTTACAAAATTGCTCAAATATACCCTTCATTTAACGGAATTTTAAATAATTAATTTAAAATTTATTATTTATTACTTATAATTTTTTAAAAAATTATTTAGTGGTATATATGATTCTTCTATAAAAGTTCAAGGTATATTTTAATTTTTCATACATTAATTATTTTTTTGACTTCTTTTATTATAATTATTTGAGTTTCTTATTCTTATTTTATTTTTTCTATCATTCCTTAATTTAAAGAAAAAAATTTTAACTATTTTTTTTGTGTTTATTGTAATTTAATTTCGTATTCGAAAATTTTTTTGGTCATCTACGATAAGTTTTACAAGAATATTAGTGAAACATAAATAAATTTGATTATCAAAATAATAATTATAAATTAGTCATTGAAACAAAAAAAGTCAAAAAAAAATATGTTTGACGAGGATTAAATTTACTAATATGGAATTATATTTTTTAGAAAAAAAAATTTAGATTGAAAATTATTATTTTTTCATTTCCCGTTAGAGGAAAAGGGTATATGTGAGCCATTTTTTTACAAGTAAGGATATATGAGTCACTTTCATAACAAGTCAGCTCTAAATAACAAAGTTAAGGGTATATCAGACCCTTTTCCTTATTTTTAAATTCCTTAATGAAAAAAAATTCCAACTTTATCACTACCGTCAACAGTAAAGTTCAACATCTCGCTGAAAAAAATCATCCCTTATTGAAATAAGAAATAAAATTAAAGAAATAACTCATAAAGGGTTGCAACAGAATAAATAAGATAAATTCATGCTTAACTAAATGCGTCGAATATGAAACAATTTAGATAGATGTCATTTTCTACCTTAGTAAATATTGCGCAACATGAATTTAAATTAACATACGTCCAAACATGTGAAATAATTTTGTTAAATGTCATTTTCTAGCTTAAGAAATGATTCACGACACAAATTTAAATTAATATACGTCCTTACATATCTTAACAAAGCTTACGCGATATAAATTCAGATTAAACATGGGTCCTATCGTAGATACCAAAAATACAAACAGGTAGACAATAATGTTATCCTAATTAGACATATTCTCATACACGTTTCTTCAACATATGTTCTACAAAATACACAATTCTCAACTATTGCTATGAATCAAAGTGGTAAAAAGATTACTGTTGCAACTGCTAGACCTCACACCAGAAAATCCAAGAACAACATCTGTTCTTCAAGTGGGTATTTGATTTTTTTTTAAAACTAATATTGCCTTTTGTCCTGTTTTCTTGAATTTTTTGAGATTTGGGGTTTGAGATTTGTTTGGTGATTTCAATATTTAGCTAGTGTTGTTGTGTTTAATACATCTTTTAAGCTGATTCTTCTACTGTATTTAGTTTTACATGTTGTTCTGTTCTGTAGTGTTGTAGTTGTTTGAACTGAGCATATGATAGAGCCATTTGCTTATAAAAGGGATAAGGCTTAAATATGTAGATCGAACTTTGAGAAAAGACTCATCTATGTCATCTGGTAAAGTTTGGTGTGTAATGGTTTGAATGAGCCTTTTCTCGAACGAAAATGGTGTAGATGAGTTAAATTTTTAACGGATTACATAATTGAGCCTTTTCTCATAGTTCGATGACATATTTGAGCCTTTTTCCAATTATAAATGTTTTTATCTTGAATGTTAATTTTAGAGTTAAATGATCAAAGACACGCCTAAGCTATCACTTTTTCGCTAGTTTTATACCACAACTATTTTTTCGTACTGTATTGATTACATATAGTTCTGTTCTGTGGTACTGTAGTTGCTAATTTGATGTGGTGCTTTTCACTAAATGAACATATGATGAACAATCCGCTTAGAATGTTAATTCTAGAGTTAGCCTAAGCTATCACTTTTTTCGCGAGTTTCATATCTTAACTTTTTTTTGTTTCGTTTACCTACTTGAACTATCAATCCCTTTGTATTAAAACATACCTTGATATTGAGTTGGCCAAATATTTTAATCACGATCTACAATATGTGTGTGTAGGTTAAGTTAATATCGAGGTGTGTCTTAACACAAAGGGAGTGATAGTTTAGGTAGGTAAACGGAACAATGGATAAGTGAGGTATGAAAATCGCTGAAATGTGATAGTTTAGGTGTTCTCTTAGCCATTAACCCAATAATTGAAAAGCCAAGGACTACGTGAGGAACATATGGCACGTGTAGGCCAGATAAGCATCGAGGTGTGTGGTGATAGTTTAGGTACGTAAATGGAATAATGGATGGTTGAGGTATGAAACTCGCGGAAATGTATAATTTAGGTGTGTCTTAATTTTATCCTATTTCGCATGATTTTAACCTGGCCCGTTTATTATTTCATATGATTTTACATCCAAAAGAGGGAAAAGGATTTTCTGGCTAGAATTGTGATTTTCATCCCCTTCCTTCCTTGCTGTTTCGATTATAGGAGAACAGGTGGAATCCAGTCAAGTTCGTCGATTTGCTGCTCAACAAAGGTAATAGTACACTCTCCTTTTGCATTTGTTTCAAGATTCTATTTGTAATAATAAACTCAGTAGTAGCAAAGGTTGAAGGACTTGTGTCTTAGGACACAAATTCGAACCTACGCCAAGCAAACTATCCAGAATTTTAAGTGGAGAACGGTAGAATGGTGGGCCATCATTCCCGAGTTTCAAAGGCTGTGGTTGGCCCAAAGGGTCGACTCTAGATAGATTTCTCGGTCACTAAAATCATATATCAATAGCAGTCTTGGAACCATTAGATGTAGATCTTTATTGTGATAACTATGTTTGGGATTGGTCCATTCCATTTAGCATTGGATCCTTCAACTGCGCCTTTGTAAATTCGGTTGCAGGGTCAGAGTTAAGCGTGGAAAGGACGTATCTAAGGCACTAGACAGTAGACACATACAGGGATCTTACCTACTAGAACATATTGAAATAAAGAATTTGACAGAGGATCCATAAAAAGAATTTGACTTCTGACTTGCTGATAAGAATTAGCTCATCGTACTAACTAACTATTGGAAGTTAGTTATCTAATCTCATAAAGGGAATTTAATGATTTACCGTTATTACTTCGATATCTTACATTTCAACAGTTATTCACCCTATTCGGTATTATAGGGTGTATAATTCAAACATGTAGAGGTAAGGTCTGTGTACACACTACCCTCCCCAAACCCCACTTGTGGGATTACACTAGGTATGTTGTTGTTCATGTCAAATAGTAGACAACTGTGCTAGTACCTCGACATCTCCGTTTTTGCTGTCATTTGAGGAACAACAAGAGTATCCTTTTTCTGTAATCTTATCTTACTTTGAAAAAGACACAATAATTTAGGTAATGGTAAACGAGAATTCTCAATTCCTTGCTAGTTACCGTTATCTCAATGAAGATGATTTTCCACAACTCAGGTATGGCGAACGTTTACCAGCTAATTACTGTGGATTTCTGTAATATAAAGGAAAGCCATTTTGTGGCTTCCTGAAATTTGGAAGTTTTTATATCACAGCGAAACGTAGGACAGTCAGGATTGTTTTTTAACATGAGAAACTCTGTACCACAATCTCATTGCAGATTTCATTAGTTGATCAGTTAGTATTGACTTTTTCTTTCGATATCGGAGGAATCCCTGAGGGCCTCTACCATTCTCGACCGAATTAACATTCTTCTGTCGTTCAAACTCGTGACGTGCACCTAGCTCACACATGGTGTGCTGTACTCTTACCTCTAGATCAAAAGCCCCAGTGGAAATAAATTAGTATTTGTTACTATGGCAGAATCTTAAGATGCGGAACACAATGATCTGTCACCATATTTTCAGTTTAGCTATTTTATGCCTTATAGTGGCAAGATCCACTTGTGCCTTAGCTACCTACTATTCTCATATCTGTTCTTGCTGTGTACCATTTAATGAAAAAATGCCTTCCAAAAATCTAATTAGAAATTTGAGTTCTACTGCCAAATAATGTTTGATTTGTGTTCAAAAAACACGTACCGTCTGTCTAGAGGCAATAGATTAAAGTTTATGACTTCATACTTATATGACATATATCATTTACGTTGTATAAACATAAGTTTTGCCACCGTATTCAACTATTGTCTAATTTATTCCTTGTCTTTTCAGCTATGATTGCACGAATAGCAGTAGCAACAACAGTTGGATTTCTCGGATGGGCTTATTTGGCATTACTTAAGCCTCCCTCTCCAAAAGTTTGTGGCTCACCAGATGGTCCTCCGGTGACTTCGCGAAGGGTCAAGCTCAACGATGGGAGATGTGTAGCCTACAAAGAGGGCGGCGTTGCCAAGGAGAAGGCAAAGCACAAGATAATTATTATTCATGGCTTTGACAGTTCCAAAGACCTTATGTTGCCGATATCCCAAGTATGAAAACTTTTATAACTCTATATTTATTGTGTTCATTTTATAGCTACTATGTATGTTATGACCAAGTTTGTTTGTACCTGCAATACGGTTGAAAATCAGATAAAATTTTCTGAGTTTCAATGTTAAAGACCGCTCGATCGTTGATGTTTGAAACTTTTGCACTTTCATGTTTAGAACTACAACAGACCTAAGACACTCAAGTTGAGACATAGGGAGTAATTTTCTTCTATCCTTCGAAGGGGAGATTGTCGTAGAAGGACAAAAAAGAGGAGGAGATTGTCTTTCATAAACCTTTGGTACTTGAATTCCGTATTTTCATTTTGCTGATTCTGTTTTTTGTTTCCAGGACTTAATTCAAGAGCTTGAAATATATGTTCTACAATATGATCGTGCTGGATATGGAGAGAGTGATCCACATCCAAAGCGCTCAGTAAAGAGTGAAGCATTTGACGTTGAGGAGCTAGCTGATAAGTTACAACTAGGACCCAAGTTCTATGTGGTTGGCTTGTCCATGGGAGCGTATTCTGCATGGAGTTGTCTTAAGTACATACCGAATAGGTACATTTTCATCTTTTTCGGAAATGAACTTAACCATGTTTTTTATTGTTTTTAAATATGATACCTGAAATCGTTACATTTTCAATTCTTTTATTTAACGAATTGAATGTCCAACGCAGGCTGGCCGGAGTTGCCCTTGTTGTTCCGTTTGTAAATTACTGGTGGCCATGTTATCCTGCTAAACTATCAAAACAAGCCCTCCGGAAGATGCTTCCACAAGATCAACGGACATTCAGAATTGCGCATTATGCCCCATGGCTGGTTCATTGGTGGATGAACCAAAAGTGGTTCCATGCTTTAAGTATGCTGGAAGGGAACATGGCAATATTTTGTCCGCCAGATCTCGAAATGCTGAAGCAGTTATCCTCTGCCCCGAGTCCTGGTCAGGTAAATGATTCTCATTTTCTTTTTTCACAATTTTTACAGTACGATAGTTGACTGTTCACAGACTTACTGTACCTGCCGTCTTCTTCTTGGGATCAATATCTGCAGTTCATCCAACGATAAATAACATCTGTATTATAGAGCTATGACACAATCAAAACCGAACTAACAAAATGTTGAATTTCATCGTACCAGTCTCTATCGGGGGTCATTACTCGTTTTTGTGCTTGCCTTTTGATTTTCCGTGTAGAACATACTCCCAACTAGCACCCTCGTGATAGAACAATAAAATGATTATTTACCCTTTCTTTTCAAAAACCTCCTATGGTAGTACGTCGGTCTCCAAAATCCAATGTCGTAGGTTCAAATGCTACCGAGCGTGATTTTTCTCTTATTATATCAAATTAGAACAAGATAGATTCATTCAGTATTTTCTTACCATTATGATTGTCATAATTCTGGAACAATGTCTTTGTCCAGGAGAAGGTTCGACAGCAAGGCGAGTTTGAATGTTTGTATCGAGACCTGATAGTTGGTTTCGGAAACTGGGACTTCTTTCCGACGGATATCACAAATCCTTTTCCAGATAACGAAGGTTCGGTCCATCTTTGGCAAGGACACGATGACAGAATTATTCCGCGTGAACTCAATCGTTATCTAGCAGAGAAGCTCCCATGGATTCAATATCATGAGGTTCCTAATGCTGGACATTTGTTAATGCACAATGCTAGTTATTGTGAAACCATCTTGAGGAAACTTTGCACTAGTTGAACGGGAGACTTGGAGCAACAGTAAAGTAAAGTTGTCTCCGTGTGACCTATACGTCACATGGAAGCAATCAATAATGCTTGAACCAGGGTAAGCTATCCACATCACATCTGTTATAAGGTGCGACCCTTTTCCGAGCTCTGCTAAAGTAGGATGTTTTGTGTGCCAGACTTCCCTTTTTGCATGTATTTGCGGACAAGAAGGTAACTTGCAATGTTCTTATGAGAAAATTGAAGTGCATAAGCATTTGTAATAAATACTAGATATGTGAACCTGTACCAGCACAGGTTCAATATATGTTACTCTCATTCGCAATTGATGTGACATTATATAGTACTTTTTATATAATTTTTAAAGGCTTAAGTCATCTACGGCCCCCTAAAGTTGTCCGCATAATTCACTTAGACACCTCAACTATGACTTGTACCTATTGAACACTTAAATTATTCAAAACACGGTCTATTAAGCATAAAATGCTGATATGACAAAATAAGTGCATCTCACTGCATGGAAGCGCGTGAACAAGTCTAAATTTTTATTTTTTATTTTTTATTAATAATAATCTTCTACCTTTTTTTTCTTATAATGACACTTGGCATTGCATTAATAAAAATAACTAAAAAAAGGTATTTTGCATTATAATATCCAAAAAGAAAACAAATCCCCCACTCCCTTCCCTGTAAGCTATATCAACAATTGTCTTCTTCTTTACCCATTTTCATTGTTGTAAACTTTGTGTTGATTTTTTTTTTTGCTCTTCATAAAAAGAAAAATTGAATCTTCTAAGTGTTAAATCGAACTTGCAAGAATGAAAAAAATAATCGGACATCAGAGTTTTAAAGGCAACTCACGTTCATTTCTATTTCCGACTTCGATCAACAAACATCAACACATTAAGTTGTAACATAATATCAGAAAATTTGATATAATTCTTTAAAATCCTCACGATTTCTCTTGGTAATTAATTTTAAAATAATTTATCAAAGTTAATTTATTTTTCACAAAAATTACAATATTCACTCCATTAATTTATAATAATGGGTAACAACTAATGAAGAAGAAGAAGAAAGCACATATAACTAAATGGCTGGGGAGTGATTTGTTTCTTTCCTTTTTTTTTCATTGTCGCAGAAGGTGTCCATGGACATTAAGAGATGAAGAAGAAAGATGGGTAGCTCCTGTGGGGGAGGAATGACTTTTTCTTTTCTTTTTTAATCATTTTTTTTTAAAAAAATTAAAGATTGGAATTAACAAAAATGAAAATTCAATAAATTGGATCCATGTGACACGTGTTGGAGTATTATTGGTTATTTTTTAGGACAATGTGCGTGAATTACACACACAATATTTTAAAAGCTTTATCATCATTTTGTGTTCAATAAGTACATATCCATTAATATTAGAGTGTTCAATAGGTACATGT